ATTCCTGTTCCCCGCAGAGTTGGCAGACTTGAACGCGCCCAATACACCGAGTGCCACCAAGTCATTTTATCCTTGTTATTCATCGAATGTTAAACCGGTTGAACAAAGATAAATTGATGGTGTGTATTTCAGTGTATTTCCGAACGCAGCCCTTTTGTATTCTAGGGACACTACTCTAAAAAGGCCTGTTCTTTTTGACTGAACTTTTGCGCCAATTCATGTTTCTTCCTTTTCTTTCCGGAAGGAAAGAAGAGGAAGAAAGATGAACTGGTGCAAAAGTTCAGACAAAAAGAACAGGCCTGAAATGTGCAGTCTGCACTTTGCATCTGCACCAATCTGCACTTCAACGTTCATGGTTCATGGCAATGGATTGACGATCAGCCAGCATTGGCCAGCATGTAGCGATGTAGTTTGTGATGTGAGTGTGTCACGATTTGTCATAGATTTTCGGCCAGGAAGCGGCAGGATGTCATTCACCAGTCGCACGATTATTTGAAGTTGTCCTTCGAAGAAGCCGGCGAAGGTCACTTTAAGATCCGGCATGGCTCATCTAAACGGCGTGTTGAAGGCCGTGGAGACGCTGAACGGGTTACTGGAGTTGGACACTCCGTCGGATCCTGGGGCGAGGTATGAACGGTAAACACCTCTTTGGCAACGACAGACGATTTGTTCTTTAATAAATGTAAATGCTTCAACAATAGGAAGGAGAAGGTGTCATGCTGTGCCATCATTGTCGAGGGGATATGTTCACCGACTGTCAGACAGAACACCAAGTTTCCACAGATTCTCAGTGCCACAATCGAAACATTGTTGGCACTCTGTGATGATGATGAGTCTGACGTCAGGATGGTCGCAGATGAATCTCTTAACAAAATTATAAGGGTACAATCACACTTTAGACCTTATTATTATAGCAAATTTGATCCCTTGTATTACATTAGATTTCCAGTTGACACAAACTAAAAGTAATATAACATTAATGTTATAATTTTATATTCAACAATATAAATGTAATATAACATTTGGTGTTATATAATAGTTATATTGTTGAGCAAAATTACAACATTGATGTTATGTTATGTTTAATTAGTATAGAATGGATTAAAAGACATACTAGAAGCTATTTTCTAGAAGCTATTAGCAAAATTAAATATTAAGAACATATAAATGTTTGATACGATTAAATGTTTAAAAATAATATTGTTCCATTATTTAATAGAATATATTATTTCATTGTCAAAATTAATTATATTATGCTACTGTATTTAGGTACTTTATATAAAGTAGCCTTTAGCATACACTCACATGTAATACAAATGACTGAATTTATCATTAGTTAGAAAAGTTGTAGGTATTCATAAATAAAGCATGATAAAAAACATACATTAAGAAATTCAATACTTAAAAGCAATTCAATAGATGTTTTTTGCCAGGCGATGGTCGACAGTAACATCGTTAAAATTCAGATAGAACTTTATAATGAAATAAAAAGAAATGGTCCTGCGCGCATATTGAGGGCTGCTCTTTGGAGATTTGGTTTGCTGAGTCATATGATACGTCCTTCAAGGGGCAAAGCTTACGTATCAAATCTGGTCCCATGTATTGTGATTATTGCGCATCGATCAGAGGATACTGTGATTGAAACGTTATCGCAATCATTACCATTAATCTTTAAAGTATTAGGTCCGTTTATGACAGACAAGGACGTCAAGGTAAGCGTTTTGACATTATCACAATTATACACATTAAAAGCTATTTCCATGAACTTGGGAAAAATTAAATCTTGTTTCAGAATTTGTTGAGAGCGTTCTTTGAAAATATTTCCTCTCCTCAGGCAGTTTTCCGTAGGGCAGCAGCTAATATGATTCTGACAACGTGTATAAATTGCAGAAAGCCACAGTTTTTTTTAAATTATGTGTTGGATTATATATTAGGTATGCTACATAATTACGATGCGCTGCGTAATGCAAAAACATTCGTTTATTAATAATGTTTATCTTGTTAGATATAATAACATTAGGAAGAAACGTTGAAGATCATTCCTCTACTGTTATAGGCGTCTTTGGATGCCTCAGAGTGATTTTACCTTATATATGCAAACCCTCGGAGCCCCAAGATGTTGAAACACAACAGATAGATAGTCTGTTACACATTTATGAATTGTGTTTGCACTATACAAAATGGCATTCTGATCATAATATCGTAAATGCAGCTTTAGAGACTTTGGCTCAACTTTTAAAAATGCCTCCAAAGCCACTGGTGTCTGTTTTATTGTCTTCAGAAGGCATAACGCAAAGCAGAATAATATTAAATCAGAATGCATGCATTCCCTCGCTGGGTCACACGAGTCTTTCCAGCGCGAGTACTGCTTATGGTGCAAATTCGGATTCTATTTTAAACTTACACGAGCCTGATATTCCGGAGATTACTCCAAACACAGAGTGGATTGCAGATACGGAAACGACATTGCCAGTCACGTGCAATCCACAAACACAGAATGAATGTATGGGCGACATTACGGATACGAAAGAAAGGATATTGGAAAGTTATTGCCATTTGAAAATCGAAACCACTGACAGTAAGAACGAACATGTAAATTCGGTAACTTGCGTAACAATTTTGCAGTTTATTAGCTTTCAATGTTTTTTAGATTCGATTGCGGAGGAATGCAGTGATATCGAAAGCGAGATGGAAAAATCCGAGAAAACGCCTTATCCAAGCCTGCAAAGTGAACACTCAAAGGAGGAAGATTACTCGGAAGAAAACACTCTATCGTTCGCTTCCCCTAAGAAATCCTCCTTGGATTTCGCATTGTACGAAGTGGACGTTGGAAGTTTTACAGACTCGGATATGCCCATTAAGTTTTGCTGCCGTTACTTGGTGTCGTCCTTTTTGTTGGCTGGCAAACCTGGGCAATTGATATCGGATAAGTTATTTCGTGTTAGCGTAAAAGCTCTCTCTCTAACATGTGTGGGTTACATTCTCAAGCTTTATCCACACTTGTTTACCATGACCGTGGCCAAAGAGTTAAGCTGCAATGAGACAAACCAATTGATTGCAGACATTTTGTTATTTGCCAATCACCCAGATCCTCAGATCAGGGGTAATATAGCGATGGTAATGGGAATCTTTTTAAAATCTATATTTGTTCAGTATGGCGGCTCCTTCCGGAACTTTGAAACGGAGTGTGTGGCTCGACAAGGACGTGGAAATATATTATTGGAAGACGCGATAAAGTTACTTTTAAAAGTGAGTTTATACGTTTTATAAAGGACGACACCTGTCTCGAGAGTTTTTAACTTACATCTGTTTCTGTCGAATGTATAGGGCTTGAATGATGATTCCGCGACAACTTGCCGTCAAACGTTGGACACGTTGAACCTCTGCTTGCCAGAGTTACTAGATTCCATCAACAACGAATATGGTCTTACCATCTTAACTGCGTTGCCAAAACTTGTGAAAAATCCATATTTTCTTGTGAAAGTAAAATTAGCTGACTTATTGAGTAAATTATCGTATATTACAATAGAACACATAACGAGACAATCGTTATTCCAAGAACACTTTATCGATGTTATAATAGCGTTATTAGGTGATCAGGACCAAAGAGTGAGACACGCTGCGTCAGATGCGATTGTTAAGTAAGATACATTTCTATAATTGTGCAGTTTTATTATTTACTCGAATTATATTATCATTTTATATTTCTTTTATTATTTCAGGAGTATCCCGTGTTTGTATTTTCGACACCCTCAAGAAGATACCGTTACAAGGAAGGCTACGCAATATACTCAACAGTTTTTAAGTGCGGTAACATCAAGTATCTCGGAACTATCGTTCTACCAAGATAAACATAAGCCATTCGTAAACACGTCAATCAAGCCCTTTGTATTTCTGAATCATCATAACGAAACGAATTACGATTCTAGTCTGGAATACTCTTTATCTCGTATAGTTAACATCCTAACGGAAATACTAACGGTGCATTCTTCAAAATATTTAATCTACGGCTGTTGCGAGACTCTTTTCTGTTTGAGCGAGACTTATCCCACTACGATTTATGTTAGAGGATGGGACTGTATTTTACCAAAGACGTTGCTGAAAAAATCTAAAAAGAATAGCGACCGATCGGATGCCAATGATATCAGTTTCGTGAATGAGATGATTTCCTCTCCGGTGTGCAGCAGTCTCTTATCATTGGCATTGCCATTGTTAACGTCATCGACCATTAGCTTAGATTTATCCACACATCGACACTTGATCCTCCTCGCCGGCAATTTGGCTTCTGGGTTAGCCGTCTGCAATTTTAAGACTGGCAGTGACCCAATGAAACTTTGGAGTATGTGTAAGGACAGGTACATGGAATTACTATTAATGCACATCACGAGAGTTCTCAATATCTTCGTCCATGTCATCGACGAGGTGCAGTTAGTGCAGGCAAGTGCTAAGCCCGTATTGC